TCTTAGGAATCAGCCAAAACTCATTTCAAGCCATATTTTCTTTTTTTTTTTAATCCTATTTTTTCTATGTATTTCTATATTTTTCAAGCTTTCAGTAATATTTTCTTAATACGGTAAAGAATCTTCTTTGGCACCCGTGTTTGTGACCAAAACCAAAATGTGATTATTTTTGTGTGTGGCTCAAATTTTGTCTCTGAAGGCCTAGAAATGCTCAAATAACATTTAGATACATATATAGCTTCCCAGGTTTCCACTCTCAAGATATAAAGATCTGTAATATTTATTTATAAAGGTCTAATACATTTGAAGCTGAATAAATAACCTGTTATTTTTACTCACTTAGATAAACATCCAATCCATCAATTTATACTCATTTTGCATACTTCTTTTTAAAAGGATGATTACTTTATACATATCATCCTACATTTCTGAGTAAATAGTATTGATTCCTAATTTTTCCACATTTGAAATGTATACTCAGATAATAACTTATTAAATTGATCCCTGTAATGAAAGTTTAGTCTTTCTGAAGCTAGGTTTTTCTTAGCCTTCACAAGAGCCACATAAGTAGAAATCTATAACATGATTTTGTTAATTGCTCCTCCAAGCTATGAATGTTGGCAAATTTTGAGATTTTAGCTATCTTGCTAAAATGATTTCTCAGATAAATTGGTAAAAAACATATGTCAAAGTTTTAGCTGAAACTTGACAAGCAACTTCTGAGTAAGACAAGTTAAAGATTCCTTCCAGGTAGAACAATTTTGTAAGGAGAAAGGAAAGAAAGAAAGAGAGAGAGAAAAAAGGAAAGAAAGAAAAAAGGAAAGAAAGAAGGAAAGAAGGAAAGAAGGAAAGAAAGAAAGAAAGGAAGGAAGGAAGGAAGGAAGGAAGGAAGGAAGGAAGGAAGGAAGGAAGGAAGGAAGGAAGGAAGGAAGGAAGGAAGGAAGGAAGGAAGGGAAAGAAAAGAAAAAAGAGAAATTAATTTAACAGTCATTTTTTTAAATAAGTAGTTACAGATTATTAATCCCTTCATAAATCTGAATATTAGTTGAGTGAGGAAATATTCCCAGTAGAGATCTTTATTTTTTAAAAGTCTGTCAGAAAATTGCCTCAAGCATTTTATCAGGAATGTTAGCTACTTCTTAAAAGGACAATAAAATATGTCCCAGAAAAAGTTCTAGCCCTGATCAGGTTTGGGTTACAAGTTTTTTTCCTTTAAGTTGTTATACATAATGTGTAAGAGTAAAAAGTAAACTTTCTTGCACACATTATTAAATGACTTCAATAGTTATATTTACCCAAGGTATTAGTTTACATCTGCAAAATGTAAACATGTGTGATAACCTATCTAAAGTAATCCCTGCCTATTGTTTCAGCACCACATATTTCTTAAAACACACAATGGCAAAAAAAAAAAAAAAAATACTTCTTGCAAGAAAAGTTATAACATTTCTAAAAGTGATATGGCGCCCAAATTATAAAATATTCAATGGCTTCAAAGGCTTATGATATATAAGGAGACCATGGATTTGGAAATTTTGAAAAATGGTTTTAATCATTTATGTTAGATCTTAGAACAAGAATAATTAGGGGAATTGACCACCAGCCAAAACAGGGATATGCCACATTTCAGTTCTTAAGCCATCCTCACCTAATCTTGTATGCATAAGCACAGTTCAAGACTTCTATCTCCCTACTTTACCAAGAATTGTTTTAGGATTCACAAGGGCTGCAGGCCCTTGGATCCCAAGTCAACAAATTTTAAAATGCTTATAATATAAACAGGAGAAACAATTTAAGTAAAATGTACAAAAAGGGAACAACACTGATGGTGATCAAATATTTATCTAAAAGAAGCTTTAAAAATTCATTTTGATAGCAATAAGTATATAGTATTATTTCTGAAGACAAAAGAAAACATAACATTGAAGAGGTTGTGACGAATTACTTTTAGAATAAAAATAAATAAAAGGGGCTGATTTTTGTTATCACTTAATACCACAATCCTTCAACCTTTTTAAAGAAAATTTTTAGGCCTTTCTTAACAATCTATCTATTTAATAATCTCCTTGTTTGTTATGACAAATCCTCTCACAAAATCCTGTACTTTTGTTTGTAATGGAGCTAAAGATATGTGCTTTAAATAAGCAAAGATATACATACCAAAGGAAGTCACAATATTTTCATAAATAAGTAATGGGACAGAAATGGTTAGTTTATAATGGCAATGGCAAGGTGAAGGAGAAGGGAGAAGCTATAGGTTTTAGAAACTCAGTTTCAACATGTTAGAAATATAAAATGCATTAAGAAAGAGTAAAATTTGGGGAAAATGTCAAATGAAATTTTTACACGTTTTCAGGATTAAATTTTATTTCTCTTCTTATCTATAAGATGCTAGCAATATTATCAATATAAATCCTAAGAACTTCACTTCAAGAAGAACATGGCTATTTTAGAGAGGGGAAAGTATGAAGAGATTTAAGAAAGGAGAAAGGCCTAAATAGGTGGCCTGTTCAGGAATAAAAAACAACCAAAAGGCAGCATTTCAACCTAAACAGAGGCAAATCTAGGAGCTAACAAAGAAAGACAAAGTAGGTAAAGAACCTTTTAGATGCACAAGGTGCATGGAGGTCTTTGGCTACTATGAGAGCACATTCAAGAGTGCAGTGTTGTCAATTCTCCAGAACTGAAACATGATAATTTAACTGATACTATGTAAACTCACTCATACAGAACTGCTTGCTATCAAAGCTACTCATGTCCTTACAATAGCAAGTTTCTTTTCTGACTGCAAACTTCTAACAAGATGTTTATGTTTTATTTTTTCATTGTGATTAGAGTTCCAATATAGTAGGTATCACCCTTCAGATAATATGGGGGTATATTGGGAAAGTGGGATTAAAAAATTTATATAATTGTATACTAGATTAAAACATTTATATAATTGTGTGGTAGTATTTATACACTAACATTTTTAATAATTATTTTATTATAATTAAATATTTTAATTATTTTACTATTTTATTAGTTCTAGCATATCACATGTAAGACATTATATGTAGAAGTATTTGAAATAAAATTTTTATTCTATTAATGACTCTCATTTCAGGAAAGCAATGGGGCCATGATAAAACATTAATTATAAAAATGGGCATTGATAATGTTGAGAACCACTGTCCTAAGTGCTGATGTATAGAGGGATTTCTATAATAATCGTACTACTGAACAGATATTCCAATTTCTATATGGCAATACATTTTGTAATAAAAAGTAATTATTTGGACTTAAGAAGAATAAAAGTAAGGAGAGGCAATAGCAAGAAGGGAAAAAGATTATCAAATTAATTTGAAAATAGGAAATTGGACTCTATTTCTTATAGTTTTCCTATCATCAGATTTATAAAATTTAAAAAGTAGAATATAGTTATTAAAAGTGACCTTTAAATAGAAGCAAATTGGATCTTATTTTGCATAAATTAATTAGTTAATTAAGCTTATAGACTGCCATTAGTGACTGATTCTCTGAGCAACCAGAGGAGTCTCCTGAATAGTAACACCTGAAAGCTATCTAGTGGTCCTTTTATCCGTAATACTCCCCCCATACTGCTTGAAATTCTGCTGTTCAATCACTCCATTTACTTTTGTTGTGTCAATTTTTTTGTAAAATATGTTATCCTTGAGGTTCAGTGAAAAGTCAAACTAAGCCATTAGTTCTACCTAAAATTTAGATGATTCATTAATTGGCCAAATTCATTCATTGAACACCTACAGTGTGTCAAGAAATGTTCTAGACAATGTGGATATGGCTGTGAACAAGAAAAATACAAATTTGTGCCTTTAGGAAGTTTATCTACTTCTAGGAAAAAATACATAATAAAATAAATAGGAAAAACTAAAATGATTAAGATAGTGAAAAGAGCTTTGAAGAAAAACAAGGCCAGAGGGAAGGGAATGCGAGGAATGAGGTCTGGGGAGGATTTTCCACCTTAAGTAGCATGATCAAGAGGGCTTCACAAGAGAGAAAGTGATTGGTAAACAGTGGCCAAAAGAGTCTATTAAAATAACTAGGAATCCCCTTGTGCCTGGCTACTGAAAGGGTGGTGCATGGAACTGCAGCATCAATATCATCTGGGAACTTGTAAGAAGTCAGAATCCTGGGCCCTACTGTATGCCTATAGGCAGGAGTCTGGTTTTTCACAAGACTTCCCAGGTAATTCATATATGTATTAAAATTAAGCAGCACAGGCATAGTAAAGTCATAGAAGAGGTAAATTTTAAGGGCGTTTTAAGGAAACTTCCAGGTGTGAGTACATTTCTGGGATGACAAGTCAACATAACAAGGGATCCTGGCTAGACAAGAAGCATGAGAGAACATGAAATAAGCCCAAAGAACCTAGAATCAATGGCAAACCACCTGCTTAACAGGTTTACTCTGGAGCATCTGAAGCTTACTCTTGGTCACACTGCTTGTCCTAGCCTGCCTCCTGGCACATGATATTTATAAACAGGGAAGAGAAAATTAATAAGTGTTAGATGTTATAATTTCTTTATTTGGGATAAATTTTGGTGCAATAGCTAGCAATGTTTCTTAATGTCATATAAATCCAATGTGTCTATTGCCTTCTGTAATATGTTTAATGCTATTAATAATACATTGGCATTGTAAAAATAAATAAGTTTGCTCAATGTTTTGCAAATAAGCTTCACCAGCTGTATCTATTTACCTGCATGCAGTGTTTAGAAAGCCTAACTACAAAAACTGGCTCTACCACATAAAACCTATGTAACCATGATAGAATTATATGACCATGTTATATCTGTTTTTGTAACTGAAAAAAAGGAGATTTTATAGGGTGGTTATGAAGATTAAATGAGATAAACTTTATAAGACATTTACTCCAACTCTTGATCTACACAGCAAACATTCTAAGTTTAATGACCAGGATTTTCTAAGTTATTTTGGGCTGCTTGTACAATAAATTAAGTGGGGCTGACCTCTCATACCTAGCCTTCCCAGGAGAAAGGACTACACATGCAATTTCAAATTCTCAGGAGAATGTAGTCTTCTGCTCACTGCAACATTCCTCTTGGCCCATGATCTCCATGTGTTTGATAGTTGATATTTCCAGATGAACCTGTGAATAGATGACAACACATATCCAATTGTTTTGGTGCCAATCAATATGATTGCTGATGATGCTGGTCTTCCATGTGTGTCCTGTAAGTGATAAAGTAGCAGAAGGCCAATATTCCTCCTCTGGCATCTTGGCCTCAGCAAGCTCCTTCATGAGAGAGATGAGGAGATGAGATGAGATGAGATGAGATGAGATGAGATGAGATGAGATGAGATGAGATGAGATGAGATGAGATGAGATGAGATGAGATGATGAGATGAAATGAGATGATATAGGGATGGTATCATGAGCCTACTCCTTAACATATGCCATGTGACAAGAATTTGTCCTAAAACCTGGAGGGTTAGAGGTTGCTCAAACTAGGACACTGTGTATGACACACTTGATGACAAACATCATTGTTATCACACTTTTTGAATAATTATAGTCTATAGTTGAGTGCAATAGTCACCATGTTGTTGGTAAAGTTGATAATGATTAAAGCATGCATGTGTACACATACACACCCACATGTGTTTGGTTACACACATAGAGCCTTGTCTTTCATATGGCATATTTAGGAAAGGACAGGTTTCTTAAAGACATCAAACTCAAGTGCTTTTCTCTTTGTTCAAAGTACAGATCTCATTAAAGAGCCTAAAGCCTATTTAATAAACTAAAAGAGATGGCAACTGTGTAATTGAAGTTCTGTAGGTGTCTTTCTAAGTGTAGTCCGACTCTTAAGGCATGCAGTAAGCATCCTACTCCTAAGAATCTGATCTTCCTGCCCTGTCTTTAAATTTAGGCTCATTGCTAGACAATAAAAACTTAAGGAGGTGATGCAAGACTATTTTTTTTATAACTTATTCTTTAAAATCTCCTACTGCAATTACAAAACCATAAAATCTTTTGGGCTGGTATGCTCTACAGGAGATCATCTGGACTCAGTTCTTAAAGCTTTGTTCACAGCAGGAGCTGAGATTTAAACTTCTCACTATTATTTTATGATTTATATAAAAATTGTAGGAAAGAAAACACCCACCTCATGTCAGAGTGCTTTAATGTTACTGTGGTGAACATTGTTGTTAGACAGGTGATAAAAGTATAAGACTAAAATAATCAAAGAACTGTGAAGTTTGAAAATTGAAGCTTCCAGAAGTTTCAGATCAGCTGCATATATTTAATCAGATGCTTAGTCTAGCAACAGAAGCCTAGAGCTGTTTATTTCAACTACTCTTTATTGTTAAAAAAGATATTAGAGTGATTTGGGGAAAGTGGATGTCTTTTAGTAAGAAAACAAAATTTACTTTTAAGTTTTCTTATTTTTAACATTAAATTTAGTTACCAGTTGAAGATCAAACTTTGTATTTGTGATATAACTAAAAAAGAGAAATGTTATTTTTAAGGGAGATAGTTCACTGCATATGCCAATTGTAACACTTTGTGATCTTCTTCACCTATTATTTGTCTTAAAGTGCTGATACAGTTAAATTTTTGACATTGGGCATGGCATGAAAGGCTAAATGTTTTCAATGCTTCTAATACACCTGATTCTCTAAGATTGCTCAATTACCAATACTTCAGTCATTTATTTAGCACACTTCTTTCTTCAGCAATGAGTTCCTGCCCATCATATATATGCAAAATCCACAATTTATATTTTAATGTAGATGTGATAAAAGTGAGTTCATCTTTGAATTCTCTAACTACCCTTTCTATATAATTTCATCCTTTTATACTCCTTCAGTTTTTCAAGGAATACAAAGATCTGATATCACTAAAAACTTAGTGTGATTTAATTAGCTCCTGAATTCTCGCAGATATATTTGCATTTGAAAAGAAAATGCCATCATTAAAAAAAAGGGAACAAAAGATGTAAAAATAAATTTGCTACTAATGAACTCTTGGACACCAGTAAGTGTCCTCACACCTAGAACTAAAACTCTGAAATTTGGAGACTTTTGCATCTTGATGAGTGGGAGAGTTTATGGCATCAGAATGATTTTCCAGGACTTTATGCTACTCAAATGTGCATGTAACATATCCAGAGTCTGAAATAAAGCAAATTAATAAATATTTTTTGATCATCTAGGTACATGCAGAAACTAAAAACTTGAAATAAATAGTAGCAAAACATAGCTAAATAGTTCAAAACAAAATCAAAAGAGATACCACAAAAGTAATGATTTTAATTAAATTACACAAAAGAGAATCATCATAATAATTACCTTTTAGACAATATAGATGAAGGTACTGTGTATAGAATCAAGGAGTAATAGAATGTTTGATTTACAAGGGTCCTTATAAATGATCTGTTCAACTCCCTTATAGAAGAAAAACAGAACTGAAGCCCCAATATTACAAGAAATCTCATGAAGATTCGGGATTATGATTCACTTGAACATAGAGAGTACTTCAAGATTGTGATAATTTAGAGTGATTTTATGGAATTCTAGATAGATGAAAATAATTGATAAAAATGGAAATGAAGAAAAAGTTGGGGATGTTCCAGAATTTTTGCCACATTCAAAAACTTAGAGACAGTAATGTACATTTATCTAACATAGGATAGTTGACTGGAGGGGAGAGATTTTATAGAAGTGAGTCCCTAGATTGAAAAAGTCTTACTTATGACCTTAAAAACTTTCATCCTTACTAGGAAGCCAACAAAGAACTATTGAAAGCTTTTGAGTAGAGAGCCAACAGGGCAAAAACAGTACTGTTAGAAAGAGTATCATTGTATATGATGAATTAGATGGCAGGGGTTGGAATCTTGTGGAAAAGTTAACTGATTTGTATAGAGCTCCTACTGTGAGTTCAGTTTGCAACCTGAACTTCAGTGAGAGTGGTGATTTGTGCAAATAATATTTCAAAAACTGAAGCATAGTGCCAGTTACACTAGGTACTTAATAAATGTTGGTTGAATTAATTAATTAATTGATTGAAGTATGATCATCCTAAGTACCCTATTGGAAGCAATCTTAAAGAATTGTTTGGTGTCTTTCTCTATTAGAGTAATTGTTGTTGCCATTTCTCTTAAAGAGTAATTGGGGGAATATTGCAATACTAGAATATAAGACATGGACCCAAATCCTTTGAGATATTATAGAATGCATCATCACATATTGTTTAACATTTTTCCAACCCAAGTTAGCTTCCAGAGAATGTTTCTAGTATCTGATATAAATAGCAAAACTGAGTATAAAAGTTCCAAAACCAACCATAGATAAAATAATATCTTTCTGTTAACTTATAATCCCAACATGATCTAGATATAACATGTGGCCTCCACTTTGGCAAGATTGACGATAAGTTCATATTTTTTCATCTTAAGTAAAGGAAACCTTCCTGTGGCTCCCCTGGTTGTCACAATCCAGTATATCTCCTTCCCCTCCCAGTTCAGACCTGCTTCATTTGTCTTTTTATCAACTCTTTTTTTCCACACTTCTTAAAATTCTGCTTTTGCCAACTACTGTTTTACAAAAGTCTCCTTATTGGTCTAATATACATTTCTTTGCACTTCTAATTTTCATTAAAATCTCTTTTCTTTTGAAGTAAAGATATTTTACTCCTCCATTACTCACCCTAACACAATTCTTTCTTAAAATTTCTCCCTTAATTTTAATGACTCAATTTTCCAATGCACTACCTACAAGATGCTTTGTATTGCTGTCTTTTACCCTCCTCAGAATAAATCAATGTTGCTACTTTTATTAGTGGCACCACACTTCTACCAACACCCAGCTAGAAAACGTGGCATATAATTGGTTTTCCCTTATTTGTATACCTGAATACATATCAACACTTGTCCTACATTTTTTCCCTCCAAATTGTGTCTTACAATCAGACAACTCACTGTCATTATCACAGTCAAGGTCCTTGTCTCCACCGCTTTCTGCAACACTTCCCCAGCCCACTTTCCGCAATATTCTTCTATATCTTTACAATTTACATAATCTTCCCAACATTTCCTCTTATTCCCACCGCAAATTTTAACTTTAATCATTCATATTTGTCTTTCAATAGAGCTAAATACATCAAAGTCATTCTAAGTCTAAGCCCTCTACCACAAACTTTCCTATTTCTTTTTTCTTGACATTAATGGGTCTTTCCTTTGAGTTTCTATCACAATCATTGACAGTACCACTTACCATTTTGCATTTCAGTTTCCTAGTTGCATAGCAACAAGTGTTTCTTTAATTTATCCATTCAGTATTCTAACAAAATTTATTGAATAATGACTATATGCCAGTCAAACATTGCACCAGGGGCTAGAGATATGAATGTGAGCAAATTCAAGGACTCTGACTTCCAGTTTTACTTTTTAATGGAGACATAGACTTTTTTGAGATCTGATGAAAACCAGGATTTCACAGGTAAAGGTTGTATCATTGGGATGAGATGTCTGGCATATAGGAGAAAAACATTCCAGGCAGAAGGAATATCAAAGGCAAAGTCCCTGAGGCATCCAGGGAGAATGACTCATATAAGAAGCTAACAGAGGAGCAGAATAACTAGAGTCCCAAGAGTGAACTAAGGCAATTCTGGAGAAGCAGGGCAAATTCAAACCATGCAGAATCTGGTAAGACCTTAGTCTATCTTAAAAATTTGGCTCTTTATTTTCAAAATAATGGGGAGATGTGGTTTTCCTACTCTCAGATATCATCTATTGCCTGGAGTAAGTATCACCTCTAATGCTTAGATTGACCATATAATTGAAGGTCCAAATCAGGACACATTTGACAGTGAAAGGTGACTCTGTTAATACTTGTACTGGGAGAACAGGCTTAAACTGAAACTCTGCGAGGCAAACTGTGACTTCTGCTTACCCTACATGTTGCTTCTGTATCTCACTAGTGACTAGCTCTAGCTGAACACAAATCTCCACCAATGCAATGTAAATTAATTAGCCAATCAGCGAGAACAATCTGTAAATGAAGTTTCTTGAACAGCAGGGGCCTATGTTTTGTAAGACTCCTATTGAGGAACAGCCTTAGGCAACATTTGATGGAAGACACTTG